AGAGTTATAGCTGCAAATGTCCCGCGAGAGGTCGTAGGAGCTGAGGCCGCGCTACGTATAGTCTCGAGAGATGACTGTCATGGTAGAGGCTTGCTAGATGAATATTTGTGCGAGAGTAGAGTCATAGCTGCAAATGTCCCGCGAAAGGGTCGTAGGAGCTGAGGCCGAGCTATGTATAGTCTTGAGAGATGGTTGTTATGGCAGAAGTTTACTAGATGACTACTTGCGTGAGAGCAGAATCATAGCAACAAAACGTCTCGCGCAAGGGCCGCAAGAGTGAAGGCTGAGCTACATATAATCTCGGGAGATGGCTGTTGTGGCAGAGGCTTACTAGGTGACTACTTGCGTGAAAGTAGAGTCATAGCTGCAAACGTCCCGCGAGAAGGCCACAGGAGCTGAGGTCGAGCTACGTATAGTCTCGGGAGATGGCTGTCGTAGCAAAGGCTTACTAGGTGACTACTTGCGTGAGAGCAAAATCATAGCTGCAAACATCCCGTGAAAGGGGCCGTAGGAGTTGAGGCCGAGCTACGTATAGTCTTGGGAGATGACTGCCGTGGCAGAGGCTTTCTAGATGACTACTTGCGCGAGAGCAGAGTCATAGCTGCAAACATCCCGTGAGAGGGATGCCGGAACTAAGGCCGAGCAACGTATAGCTCGGGGCATGGCTGTTGTGGCAGAGGCTCATTCCATTAAGATGGAGATGAGGAGGGTTAAGGAACCGGCGCCTGAGGTTGAGTGGCGGCTGTTGGGCGCCTACTAAGAGGATCACTGTTAACTTTCTGGCTTTGTCCCCTATAAGGCACCAACAGTAGTTAGTGACGGGGAGAGTCTTGATTATAGTGGTTGTGGATCATGGAGTAGTTGTTGATTCTCAAGAGAATGACGACTATTGTCCTTTTGTCTAGACCTTGTTGTTAAGTCATGTTTTGACTTTTGTAAGCAATTTGTAAATTTTAGGAAAACAGGACAATTCGGACACAATAATCTTTGGAGAATTTTATTTTATAAATTAATAAATAACAAATTAAATCAGCTGAAACAATAAATGATAGATAAAATCTTCAGGTGTTTGGTGTCCCATAAGTGGGCCAAAACTTTTCAGGCAGAGTTCGAGTCATTTCCTCCTCCTAGCCCTTAAGAGTTTGTCTGAATTTCTCCAAAGGGTTGCTGGCGTTCTTTGTTGTTTTGGTTCCGGCTAGGTGGTGGGGCTTGTCCTTTGCTAGCAACGTATTGCCCCAACTGGCCCTGCTATATGAGCTCCTCGATCTACCTTTTAAGATCAAAGCAATCGTCAGTATTATAGCCGTGGTTGCGGTAGAAACGACAGTATTTGGTCGGGCTCCTCTGGTTCGGGGTAGTTTTCATCTTTTCTGGCCAACATACTGTAGGATCATCTTATATTTGGAACAAGATATGCTCTACAGAAGCATTGAGTGGCATGAAGGCTTTCCATTTTCTTAGAGGCAGGGGACCAAGACTGTCCTTGACAGAGATTCTCTTTATCCAATTCCTATTGTTCTCTGTTTCTCATCTATCCTCACGGGTGTCCTTCCTCTTCTACCTTCCTCGAGAGGACTCACCTTTATGGGCTTTGGTGACGTCCTTGGCGTTTATATATTTCTGTACCCTAGATAGTAGCTCCGGCATGCTGGAGGGCTGCTTCTTGAGGACGGAGAACATAAAGCTGGATGAGTGAAGATGGGCGATAAAGGCTACGAGGGCTACCTTGTCATCTGAATCCTCAATCTGAAGAGCCTCGTCATTGAAACGAGCGAGATAGTCTCTAATGCTTTCTTCCCTGTCCTGCTTGATGGTGAGTAGGTGAGTGACAGGTTTCTGATGTCGGCGTTCACCAATAAAGTGGGAGATGAAAGATCGAATCAACTCCGCAAAGGAGTGGATAGAAGAGGGCTTGATATTTGTGAACCATTGGCGAGCAAAACCCTTCAAGGTGGTAGAAAAGGCTCTACAAATAATCTCCTCAAGCATGTTATGGAGTTATATGAGAGATGTGTATGTGTCAAGATGGTCGAGGGAGTCTTTGGTACCGTCAAAGATCTCAATGGTAGGCATCTTGAACTTCGAGGGTAAGGGATAATTGACTATATCAGCAACAAAAGGTGTATCGGTATGTCTTACTAGGTAGTCCACCGTTTCAGGTGCCTGTGTCTTGATGGCGTTGAAGGCATTGCCGAGTTGATTTTGCACCTCTCTAATCTTTTCATCTCATTGATTGGGGACATCCTCAGTGGGGTGGTGATACTGGCTTCCATGATCTCCATATTGGCTCTCTCATTCGTCATTGTTCTCTTGCGCAAGTACGTATGGGGGGGAACACATGAGCTTCCTATGCATTAAGGAAGGACTACTAGGCGAGGGGCGCCTTGGTGTGGCCTAGGAACATTCTAGTGAGGGGTTGCCTGATGCCCAGAAGGGATGGGTTGCTGCTTATCTCCTATTGGAGGAAGTGGGGCTCCTCCTATGCGGTGAAAGGCTGCACCTCCCTGGGTGAGCATCAACTGTATGATTTGCTTGTTTTGCTTTACCAGTAATTGCATAGTCTACAAAAGCCGTTGCTGTGGCCCGACGATAGGAGTCGCCGTAGTAGATGGTTTTGAGGGTGCGAGGGGAGGCGAAGCTTCTTCCTGGTGGGCCGAGCTGTTGTCTTCTAGTTGTTGACTCATCGATCTGGTCATGATTGCCATAGATTAGAAGAGAGTATAAAACTTAGTTGTTTCCCATAGACGGCGTCAAACTGATGATGCACAAATTGGTATTGCGTAAAATTAATAGTCGAGTATATGTAAGGGTGCAATTAATGAGCAGTAAACAGACAATTAATGACAAAACATTAAATAAGAGCAAACACGTAGATTTATAGTGGTTCAGTCCGGGTGACCTACTCCACTCTTGGGAATGGTAACGGTGGCTAGAGATCTTTATTGATGAATAAAAGTCACCGGGAGAGTTACAATGCTTTAGGAGAAAGAAACTTGAAGTATAGAGAGGTCTCAAGGTCATGCCCTCTATGTGGAGAGGACTTACAATATATACGGATGATGAGGCGGTGATGTGAGGGAGAGGGCTCTCTTATTTTGGTAAGTACAATTAAGGTAGGACTAGATCTCCATGAGGCATATTCCGATATTCTCTCCCTCGTGCTCCTATTCTTTTGGAATTCCTGGGTCCTGAGCTGAGTCGAACTAGGTTAGAGTGGCAAAGTGAGGAGGTCGTAGGAGAGACAGGAGGGCCAACCCATAGGCGGCACCTAGGCTCTGGGCGGCACCCCCTTGGGCGGCTCCTTTGGGCGCTGGCGTCTCAGGCTCCTTTTGGGCTCTGATGACTTGGTCCGCTTTTGATTTATTAGGCCTGACCCAGTTGATTTTGGGCTCATCAATATCAATCTTACAATGACAAAATAATACTAATCAATTACAATTGTCCTACAATATACTAAACAATTAGTCACGTGTTCTAATACACCAAATAGATATATCAAACAATTACACAAAATTATGACACCAACCTAATTTGTCATTTTGTTGTTTACATAAAATCAAAGAGCTATACTATTTAGAATCACGACATAATTACACAAATTATATATTTCAAATTTAGTATAATGACAAAGTCTTTTGTGTAATGATAAACTCAATTTGGTGTATATAATTGGCATAACTACATCGTGATATTAAATGGTGTAACTCTTTGATTTATGTAAACAATTGAATGAATAATTGGATTGATGTTGTAATTTTGTGTAATTGTTTAGTGTAACTGTTTGGTTTATTAGAACACAAGACTAACAGTTTGGTGTATTATAGGGTAATTATAACTAATTGGCGTAACTTATTGGTGTAATTGTGTTGTTGTAATGTTGATATAAGGAGGGAGAGAGAATAAGGAGAAAAAGTGTAACGGTGAGAAAAAATAGGGGAGAGAGAGTGAGAGAAAGAGAAAAAATATAGGGAAAAGAGATGAAAAAATAAAATCAAATATTTACATATTTGAAAAAAAAATTATTAATGAGAGAGAGATAGAGAGAAAATAGGGAAGAGATAGTGAATGAGTAATGGAGAGAGAGAGAGTAATAGAGTAATGAATAACCTTTTAATCTTTTTGTTTTTTAAAATGCACTTTGGGTCAAATAAGTTTTCTTAATATACTTTAGTACCTACTTACAAATTCCCCTTTTTTATTTGACTATTACTGCACACCTAAAAATTATTAGATTTTTCTTAAAATAGGGCCTAAAGTCCAAATTTTATTGGTCTGGTGATTGGGCTAGGCCTGACGGGGATGAAAATTAAGCATTCAAAAAAGCCTTTGGGAAAATCACCACTAAATCCTACTTTTTCTCCAAAAAAAACCCATTAAATCTTATCATATTTACATTAGCACAATTAAGTCCTACTTTTGATAATTTATTTCCAAGAAACCCAATACTACATCAATAGTATGTTTTCTTCCAATTTTATCCTTCACATCAACACATCAATTATACTTTTACCAATAATATTTGTTATTAGGACCTAAAGCAAAATATTTTTTTTAATTAGTACATAACACCCAACACACACAATTAACAGTAAAGACTTATAGAAATAATAAATTATATAACTCGATTGTTTTCTTATATTTCATTTTTTAATTATACAAATTTCAACTCACTTGATTATCAAATCTCAATGATAAAGACACGTGATTATATGAATTAAAAATGTAAAAACTAGTCCATGAATAAAATCATGGAGAAAAGTTTACACTAGAAGAAAAGATCGATTTGTCAATGTTTAATCACCGGCGTTTGTGATAAATATCGTTTAATTAATTTAATCGTGATTAATCCTATTGTAAATGCTAGTTTGAACTTATTAATCGCTCGTTATCGACGTTTATTAAATGCCCCAAATTAACAGCGTTTACCCAAATGTCTCTGATTCATTTAAATATCTTTTTATTTTCTGTGACCCCTGACGACTAAACTCTGACTACTTTTTCTCAAATCCTCTCTCTCAAAGTTTCCTCTCTTTCTATCTCTAGCTAGTTGGATTCTTACAAAGCAAAGGATTTTTGATTTTGAGATCCAAACCATACAGCTTTCGATTATGCTTTCTCAATCGATCTGTCTAGCATTTTTTTGATATACTGCCAATATTGTCCTTATCAATTGTGATTGCTCTTATCACCTAGAACTACTACCGCAAATTAGTTCACTTGGAACACTAATCATTGAAGCATCACATACGCGTTTTGGGCAAAGCTTCATATCAGACAGGTTAATTTAGGCTTTGCTCTTGCTTTTGAAGGTTTTTTTTTTTTGGCCAATGAGATCTTTTCTTCCTTGCTGTAACAAAAAATCTGACCAATTGCTAAGATCTATAAGAAGTGGGGCTTGACATCTAGCTAGAGCCACCAAGAAGATTCAACTATCCACTGAGGTGAGCAAGTTTGATTTGGTCTCATCTTCGTGCGATTCGATTTGGATTATAAACTATCGCTTTTACTCTCAAATTTTCAAACTCATGTTTTCTTCATCCTCGTTTTGTCTTGAAAATTTGGGAGTAATTTGTAATAGGTTGTGGTTTGGGAACTGGTGCTTCAAAATTAATTTATGGTTGGGAAGTAAGAGGTTTGTGCAGATGTGATGCCGTTCACAGCCATGGTGACTATGGAGTGCACAAATGTAGGCCTAAACACATTATACAAAGCAACCACTCTTGGAGGGATGAGCCCCCATGTCTCTGTGGTTGACGCTTACGGTGTTGTTGCTGCTCTTGTTCTCCTTGCTTCACCATTCTTCTCTCAAAGGTCTCTCTATCTCTCTCGCTCTCTCTCTCTCTCTCTCTCTCTCACGTTATATCATGAGATCACCATCTTCAAAGTCCTCCTATGAATTAACAATCAATATACTGATAATTGCCATCTTAAAGTCCTATGAATAATAATCAAAACACTGATTTTTTTTTTTTTTTGCCTCATTCGCTAGTCTTGATTAATCCTATAGTTTTGTTGTAAAATTTGGCAGATCAAGAGTGCTTCCTCCACTTAATTTCTCCATTCTATGTAAAATTAGTCTCCTTGAGCTTATCTAGTGCACATAGTTTTATCCAAAACTTATTGATAGATATTATGGTATTGATTGGTTGTTGGATTTAGTTGTACATCTCAGATCATGGGATATACAGACATCAATTGTGGTTCTCCAACTCTTGCTTCCACCATTACAACCTCATGCCAGCATGGTTTTAATCTTTTTAGGGTATCTTTCTTGTTGATGTAAATTTGTATTTCGAGTCACATCTATCTTTCTTTGTATATAACGTAATGTCTCTTTGAAATAGATTGATCCGTGTACATTTTACGAATTTTCAATTTTTATAGGATAAATGAATTGTGTTGTGCTTTTAGATTCAATATTGGGTATTGATTCTGTTGATAACTTTGAATTACCCTTCGTTATTTTTCAGAATTCTGCTGAAATTTGATGTTGCTGGATTTGGTTGGATGAGCTAGTTTTTGGTGTCGTACATTTTCTAGTAGAGGACACAACGCATAAGGTTGAAGATGGTAAGTGTGTTGATATTGATATTTCGCTCAAATGTCATTTTTGGTCCTTGAATTAATGAATGTGAAAAGTAGTAAGATTTTGTATTATTTTTGATATATATATATATATATATAGATATTAAGAATGTTCATAAAATAATAAAAAATGATCTTGGAAACTTCGAAGCATAATTTGTAAAATAATCGCAAGGTTTAAGTTTGTGCGTAATGATTTTTTGGTCAAATATAGAGTTGGAGGCATGTAAGCTTTAAAAAAGTAGTTACATAATCATTCTAAAAGTTTATAGGTCAAAATAACATCAATATTGAATTCGAGAGTGGCAAAAAAATTTGAGTTAGACATTTAATCGGTATTGCGATAAAAAAGGGTAAAAGTTGTAAATTTGGAATTTAGGGTATAATCTGGCTTGGATTTTTATAGAATTCATAAAAATAATTTTTTTTTGCCTAAAATAACATTAAAAATGGATCCGAAAATGTCAAAAAAATCTTAGGGTAGTCATACGGATCAAATTGGAGAAGTTTTGGGATAAAATTATAATTTTGGAGAAAATACATATTTTTTGTCCTGTGAATAATACCCAGCGAGAATTTTTATCCTTATAACCCAATTTTCACCTCCATTTCTCTCATTTTTCTCACATCTCTCACCCCAGTACTACTCCATAAACCTTAGAATTAGAAAGAAAGAGGAAGAGAGCAGAATGTCATTAGAGCTTGGGCTTTTGCTTGGAAACTTAAGAACATTATTTGAAATTCTTGAATTCACTTAAATATTTGCTTACCGGTTGGCGTTACCACAAAATTTTTCTAGTCTTTATGCGGTATTATAAGTCTCCATGCTCTAGAAGTACACTCTAGATCCTACGCACGTGGTGGATTGAAGTGAGTTGGTTGTTGATACGAATGGGACCTTCGAGGATGGACAAGTACGTATCATGGATAGCGGAGAGCATATTTTGTGAGGTAAGACTGTGAGTTTGGTGAAGGTGCTGTGGTAGTACCGTGGTGTGGAGAATGTGACATAGGAGCATAATGGCACTAACCGTACCAGTTATCCGTTCTTATCCGAAGATGGAGTTACATTCTAATAGTCATTAAGTGTTATATGGTTTGTAGCATATGCATGTAGTTAAACATACATGTGTGTTTAAATTTCAGGGACGGAATTCTTTTTAAGGGTAGAAGAATGTAAAACCTAAGTAAGTTTGAAATTTTTTGAAAAAGGGTAAAACGGTAATTAATCACTACAGTGTGGGTTGAAAACTTGAATTTGTCTGGAAATCGAATGACGAAACAAACCTCACCATTGGATTCATTTTATAAAATCTAGTTACCCAGTCAATTTTCATTAAATTCTGAGATAGTTGAATTTTTCTCGCTTTATAAAGCGATTGGGTGTCGCATAACCTAAATAAATAAGACTCGGAATTAAATTGCAAAAAATAAAAATAATTTAATGTTATTTCAAATAAAAATATTTTAAACTTGAACCGGGATGAAATTTAATTGATTCAAGAAAAAATCGGACCTAAGAAAGACGAACGTGTGGCGCAACAAGGGCCAAGTGTTTGGAAGGTATAAAAGGGGAAGAAAAATCAGATTTCTTCCCCAATTCTCAACAGATTTTTGTAGGAGAGGGAAGAGATGAAAAAGGAAGAGTTTCTTCAACTTCTATCTACAGTCTATGACTTTCCTTTGGTCGAGTCACCTTGGCCAAGAACAGAGATTGTTCTACTCGACATGGGCTACAAAACCAACTAAAAATCAAAGATTTTGATGAAGTTCAAAGGATAAGATTTTTAAAAATCAAGGGCTAAAGCTTAATTTGGGTCTTTGAAGGTTTTCTACCATTTGTTTTACGCTTCAAGAGGTAGGGTTCTTTTCCTAATTATATTTAATTTCAACCTAGGATTCCATATGATATGGGTAGCATGACTTGAAATTAGTTCTCTTGTTTGATGTATTCCTAGTGTAACTAGAGTATGAAAAATGGGTGTAGAAATATGCTAAATCAATCTTGCATGAATTGGGTTTGTAGAATTTACTTGTTTGGTAAATTCATGAGAAATGTGATAAATTTGGTATGATTGTGTGTTACATGATTGTATGACTTTTGGGTGTTTGATAAAATGCCTATGTTGATGTAGCATGTTAGTTCCATTGAAAATGTAAAAATATGCTTGATGAAAATGTGGATTGTAATTATATGCCTTTGATATATTTGACAATTCAAGAATATAATGATGTTGGAATGTAATTATATGCTTTATAATATAGATTACATTAAGGAATTGAAAATGTTCATATTGTGTTCATGACATGTTGAACATGGTATGACACATACCTATGGTTGTTAAAATGTGAAAAATGAGTATTGAGAAGGGTTAAAATCAATTCTAGCATGAATTGGGTATTTAGAAATTATTTGTTGTGATTTCTTGTGAAATGTATTGATTGGTCATGCTAAGTGTTTACATTTATGCCTTGAAGGTGTTTAATGAAATGCCTATGTGAATTAAGTGTGTTATTTGTATTGATTATGTTATGACATGCTTGGGAGTTGATATTGGTATATGTATTTTGATATATTGACATTGAGGTTGTTGATGTGGTGACATGGTTATGATGTAATTGACCATGGAAAAGGGTTGAAGGATATTTAAGATGTTCATATTGAGCTCATGACATGTGAACATGATAATGAAATTTCAAGTGTACATTACATTTGCATATGCACGGGGAGCATCACATTTGTGGAAATTTGACATGAGTATGGGTATGTGTGTGCATGTTTTTGGATCAAACACCTTTCATGGTGGTTGAGGCGTAGACTTGGGAAGGTTGGACCTAGGTCCGATTGAGTTGCACGTTTGCATAAAAAACTTGTATCGGGTGTAGAAAGAAGGGCTAGATTCTCCCTCGGATGCAAGACTCGGTTATTGTTTATACACTTCCATCGATAAAAGTCTAAAAAAAGTGTATTGATGTCACAAAACCGGCAGTGAGATACCAAAATCTATGTACCTAAGAAAGACACATGGTTTATTTTATAAAATGGTCATTGGATGTGTAACATCAATGGCGGGGGCTTGAAATATATGGATTCATATACATGGCATTATATGTGTTATGGGAGTTGGTGAAGGTTTAGGTTGAGTTGCATTTGTGAGTCTCATCTCATGACATGACATGACATAGAAAATTCTATTATGAATTGCATATTCTTGGAATGAATTATTTATTACTTGTTGAATTGCATGTGAGCATTTCATATGCATCTTGGTTGGGGAGTAGTATCTTTAGGAGATACTCTATTATGTGTGGTCCACCCTTTATGGGGGATAATATTTTAGGTGCGGGACATGCACCGGTGGATGGCTCTCACTCGGGCCCTCATTGATGAAGAAAATTCAAGATGTGACTTTAAATTGCATTTTTGTAAAACACATGTGTAAATATTTTTGGACATGTAATATTATGAAAGGAATTGCAAAACAAACTCTTATGAACTATATTTTGTGTAAAATTATATGTTATATGAGTTTGGGTTGTTATATGAGTATGGATAAATGGACCAAGTGTGGTCAATATTGTATGATTGCATATGTTGCGTTTTGAGTAGAGCTCCCCGTACAAAGGAGATCTACCTGAATTTTGTTAAGTTATTGATCTCGATAAATAGGACATAACGGCGTGGTATCGAGTTATACGGTATGTAAGGGTATTCTACGTGTTGATGGGTGATCAATAGGGTAATTACGGACACCCGAATTTTGGGATGTTGCAGCTTGGTATTAGAGCTTAGGTTCATGATTTACCTAGGGTTGGTGGGACATGGGTTTAGACTATTACATCCGTTGAGCATTATATGTTATGTGCTTTAAATGGTACATGATATGTATTATGTGAATAATATGCATGGTTAAATGTATATGGAAAAGAGACACGAAGGTTAGAGAACATAACCTTGGTTGTCAGAAAGAAAAGGAACATGACAGTTCAGGGTATAGATGTCTACTATTGGGTGGCACACGCTCTACTAGTGAGACAAATAGAGAAGTCTCAATGTTTCGACTTTGAGCCACAAATTGAGATACTAAGTTAGTGCTCCATTGTTATTTGACATATGTGTAAATAACAAATAGAGGAAGAGGACGCGGGCGTCAGGGTGGCAGGGACCACCAACCACCACCACTAGCGTTTGACCAACAAGCCTTTATAGAGGCTATGGGTACAATGGCATCAAACCTAGTGCAGGCAAGCACCAATATGAACCAAGGGGATCAAGCCATCCAAAGGAGTTAATGTTCCATAGGTTGGCAATGTTAATGGAAAAAGCAGAGGACATCCTATCCACAGGGATCACATGGGCAGGGCTGAGGCTATCAAGGCCAAGCCCAGAGTCAGTTGTCCCAAGGAGGGAAGAAATTCAAGGGGCTGTATCAAGGAGGCCAAAAGACATATTACTATTGTTGACAATCGGGCCACTTGAAGAAAGATTATACACTGAGGTAGAACTCATAGAGTTCCGAGACATCTTGATCCCAGTTGTTAGTAGGACTTTCAAAAACACATATTGTTCCTCCCTATCCTATTATGGGCCAAGGAAATCTGATCCAACTATAGGGTGTTGCACAAGCCCCTTGTACTTCACGTGCAAGGACTTTGTAAACAGGCTAGATAAGCCAGGATGTGGGTCAAGGCCAAGGAAAGGACTTTCAGATAGCAACATCGGGGACCTAGGAGATGGATTTCAATGTTGCACCATAGAATGAGTCGATGGATTAGTCAGCGACCCATGGTACATTTCTTATTTCCTTGTTTATGGGCACATGTGTCACTTGATTCGGGCGTGTCACATACCCTCATGTAACATTTTTTTGTGTGTATGATATAGATTTAGAAATCGCAACCCTAGAGGAGTCCTTATGGGTAAATTTAAC